GCGTGGTTCTGGAAAGTAAGAAGTCGTTCTCCATACTGTGGTTTTCCACAGGAGGGCAAGGGTTCGCAGTTCCGCATGTTTCTGCACAAAGGCAACAGCAAGCTGTAAGATATAGCCAAAGTAATTACTCAGTGCCATTCTGCAGAAGAAGCTGCCAAGCGTATACATGGGAGTTTCCGAAAATTAGGGGTACCTCATTTAGGGGTCCTTAAAATAAGGATCCTACTATTTAGAGTACTTTATATTATTAGGGTCCCCTATTTTCGGAAACTCCCACCTGACTTCGGAGGCAGTGAAGTTTCACCCGGACGTCGACAAGTCAAAGCGAGCGACCTCCCGATTTCAGGCCTGGCCAGCGCCAAGGGAATCGGAGGGTTTGGGGCTTAGGGTTTAGGGTCTAGGGTTTAGGGGTTTCAAGCGCGCAACCTTCTCCCGAGAGCAAGAATGCAGAGCCGGCGAAGACGTCGGTTTTGTTTTTTTCTGGTGTGAACATGTGTGTACGCAGGTCGCATGTTTGCTGAACCTTTGAGATTCCTCGAGCAGACAGCCTTGACACCAACGACCATCATTGGTTGATGTTTGTTGGAGTGGGGGGGTTGCATGGAAAGCACCTTGCTACCACACCCGGCCAGGAAATTCAGGTGGCCTATAAGAAGATGATCGCAGCGTGTAACCTGGCATGTCAAGTCTCGAAACTTCGAGTTCCTCTTCCCGAGCCCGCAGAGTCGAGACGTTCCATCAGCAGATGGCCGAGGTTGCGTATTAATCACACATTTTGACGTGGCACCAGTCTTGTTGTGACCGATGTCATAATGTCCATGCCGTCTCTCTCTCTCTCTCTCTCTCTCTCTCTCTCTGTCTTTCCGTGCAATTGGAGGCTAAGTTCAGGCCTTTACGGCGTTTACTCTGTGGATATTTGCTGGCTCAGAGCTTGCAGATACGGAGACTGTGTGGGCTCTTCCCGAGGGTGGTGTTTCTTCCATGGTATGATCAGTAGATGCAACTTGATCTTTGAGGATGTAACGTCGGCGAGAAGTACATACTCAGTAGGCGCACCAATGCAGCCGCAATGCTACCAAGGCGGGCCGAACCCAACAGTGCTGCGGGAGCAAGAATGGAAGTCGGCGAAGAGGACAGTCTTCGTTCAACGGATCCAGACCTTGTGCAAGACAAGTCAGCCTCCAGTGAGGCGTGGAAAGTGCTTGTGGCAGGCATGGACAACTAGCTGCTGCAGTCACAGTGGACAGCATGCCACAGGCTAAACCCAGAGTATCTCCAGGATTCTTTCTCAGCGGGGACCTCCGCCCCTGCCTGGAGGAGGCAAGCGACGAGAAAGGCAGCTGCTTCCGAAGGACGGGCGCATCCAATCAAGCTACAGCCCGGATTCCTCCACAAGCCTCGGATTCCCCGCAGCCAGGAGATCGGCGAGCCAAGCCGCTGGATTCCTTTCGTATTTCCCACGTGCTGGATGCTCTGCTGCCCTCACGTGCCTAGGCAAACAAGTCACCGAGTTAGAAAGACCTGTGTAGCGCAGGTCGTTCCCGAGCTCCAGCAAATACCTTTCAACACCATGCTACTATTCGGCAGGTGAGACGTTGGCTTATGGAACCATCCTGCTGATTCTGCTACCGTACATGGCCAGCTTCCTCTACGGTCTTGCCGCCATCGTCTCCAGGTTCAGTCAAGGCATGGACTGTTTTGGTATTGCCGAATGCCCAGAGCAGCAGTGCACACCAAGGCAGCATCAAGCTGTCTGCTGTAGCTGAACTGTACCAGCAAAGTATGGCTTGCACTTGTCCGCCTATCTGACTGTCTGTCTTTGTTTTGTTGTCCTGCGTCTGTTGGTCGTGACCGCTCGGAAGACCCAAAGATGAACCGAACAATGGCAGCACCAGTACAGAAACAGCTGCAGGTTGCAACAGCCTCTGAAGTTGGTGTACCTCTCCTTCTGGAGGATGAGACATCACCTCTCCACTACAGTCCAATGCAGTCGTCAGCTGTGGGACGCTCTTGGATTCTCGGAGAATGTCTAGCTGCACTTACAGTTGATTGACTCTTCTTTCTGAGTTGGGTTCCACTCATGAGTCTAGATAGCCTGTTCGACGCGGGAGTTGGAAGGAGTTGGTGAGAGAGCTCGGGTAGACTGGTTTTAGCCTGAAGAGATATGATAGGCCTTGTTTGTTCCGAGGATGCATTTCTCCAGCACGCGCGAAAGCGCTCAAAGACCCTCCGGGCACATGATACTCGTACGATCCTTGGCAGTCGCAAGTAGCTGTATATCCTCCAACTCCCGAATGTGCATTCCTGAGCTCCCTACTCTCTGTAGAGGAGGGACACCTCCGACATCCTTACAGCATCATTCAATGCAAGTCTAGAATCCCTCAACACCCCTGACAGCAGCATCTACATATTTCTACAACGCATCAACCTTACTTCCTTCGCGTCATTAAGTCCCAGTTTCCTTGCCAGTCCAAAGCCACCAGAACCGATCATTGTGACCCGGGGAGGGAGCATAAATCAACATCACAGCACTTTCGTTGCTAATCACTTGACGGGGTGATTGTCGCTGCTGCTGAGTGGTGGTTTTGCTGGTGGATCTGTTTGTTTTTTTCTGCTTGTGGTTGAGAGGAAGAGTGCAAAGACAAGGGCTAGCTGCTCAAGGCATTTAGGCAGTCGCGAGCCAGCCCTCCGCCGCCCAAATCCAAGCTACGGGAGATGACAACAGACTGTCACCACGAGGCTCCAATTCAACCAACTCCCTGGGTCTGTGCTTCGATGTTTTAGCCTGACCGCCGACTTGTTGTGCAAACAGTCTGAGGAGTGCGATGGGCGAACGGCCTGGCGGAGCCTTGGGCGAAAGATCTGGGATGCAACCGACACGCGCCCACGCTGGATGAAATCGCTGGTTTTACCCTAGAGCGAGCAGGAGAGTGAGGATGCCGGCCGAAGGGTCAGAAAGACCGGGCTCGGATATTCAGGAGCAGAGAGCAAAACGCTGGCAACTTTTGGAGGTCGTAGGACAGAGTTTCCTGGGTGGACCACAGCCATTGGCCGAGAACTGCTCCTAAGATCTCTCAGCTACTGTACAAGATGCTAAGTCTGCGTGGATAGTGTGTTCAGATCTCTCATCCATCAGGCCCCTGTTTACGGCCGATTGTGCGTGTAGTTGTGTGTGTCTCTTGATGGCGGCGAGCCAACTTTGTATCAGGCAGCCCTTAATGACGTTGCGATGTTTCTGCTAATGGTGGCGTTGATGACGGTGCTGACATGTCCCAGTATGCTCAAGACAACCGATGCCGTTTGCGCGACTGATCACTGAGGCGGTGACCTGGCCGCCAAGAATGAAGCCAAGGCTCGCCGTTTTCGTGTTTCAGTTTGTAGTGTTTTCAGGTTGGGGCGAAGTTTGAAGGTGGTGTCGGGTTTGGCATGGTTCGGCGTGAAGCAAGGGCAATAGGTGCTGTTCGACGTCAGAGTGTTCAGTACTGTAGTCTTCAAAGTGCACATCGCATATGTAGCACTCATAAGAGGTCACAGCGACTACCTTCCGACTTCTATTCCGTGCCAGGTATCACTAAACGCCTTCGGAAAAGATGTTGAAATTTCCACACCGGAACTCAGAACACCCCACAAAGGACATGGTGCTGCTGAACGACTCCTTGCAGTCCTCAGCTTACAATCCAGCTTGCAGGTGTCCGGTTTGGGAGCATTCGACCATATTGGCATCGGTGATGTGAGCCTTGTAGGGAGTGCAGCAGAATAAGATGCGGTGTAATGCACTTTAGTACAGGTTATGTTCGCATCGATGTGTTATTGTATACCACGTGCATTTGCAAGAGGTGTATCTTGTAGTTTCACATGCTGGTGATTGTGCTCTTGGGTGAGCACGTCTCTGTGTGTGCACATGCATGTGGATGTGTTACCGTGCTTATGTATGCACGCATGGTTGCCTGTCTGCATGTCTGCATGGCAGGTACATATAAAAGAAATACGTACGTATGTCCGAGACCGGGCATGCGTGGCCTGGCCTGTCCCTTCACGTGTGGCATGTCTCATGCATCCTTTCTCCTGTCCTGTCTGTCCATGTAGGTCGGTAGGTAGCTAGCTCGCTATGTCGGTAGAGCTGTACGTGTTTGTGCGTCTGTCTCTCTGTCTCTGTCTGCCTGCCTGCCTGGCTGTCTGTCCGTCCGTTTGTGTCTTTCTGTCTGTCTGAGTTTGTCTGTCTCTGTTGATGTGTGTTTGTGTGTGCGCGCGTTTTCATGTGCGTTTGTTTGTAAAACCCTGAACGCGTGATACACTTACGATGGTCTTAGCATACCTTCAGCCCAGTCCGGGCTGTGGTTCGGGCTTGCCTGCTCCAGACAAGGGCTCCACGACTCACATGCAGTTTTTGTTTGGGTGATAAAGGAACTACGATCCTAGTTTCCTCAGCTCTCAGCATCGGTGCTACTTCGCGAGAGACGGGTCTAACGATGACGATTCTCCCATTCTTTACATCGTGGGGTCGCATCAATGATTAACTTGCTTCGCTGGAGAAATAGTTGAGTGCTCCGATGCTCTCCGAAAGCTTTACCCAAAAATCTCGACCTCTACGCCTGCCGCCGTTGCTCACCGAGGCTGGCGCACAAGTGCATCCTGAACTCATTTTATGGCTATGTGATGCGCAAGGCTGCACTTGAGCGAACTGCCGTCGTGCCATGCCAATAGACAGACATGCTCGAAAGTAGGCCACGTGATCGCCTTTGCTATACACTCCATGGTGCATCTGAATGTCATGCTCATGAGAACCCTGCAAGACGGACACAGAAACGAGCTCCACATGCAGCCCCGTCAGGGCGCGCGCTGGCATTCCATGAAGATGGCTGGAATTGTGTGACACTCAAGAAAACATGAGCAACAGTGGCTGCTGCACGGCGCAAGATCATGTGTGCTCATGTGGCACGAACAACTATCCCCCGCTGCGTGTTTATGTTCTGAATGTACTGTCCGAAAACGTGCATGACCGGACATCAATGTGATCGATGGCAGGAGTTGTTTTCATAATGCGCAGCTGCAGATGATTCAGGTCACGTATACGGGATCGAACCTCATCCGTGAGGCCTGGGAGTACTTTGTTTAGGCTAGCCTGTTCGCTGCATGCGGTCTAGTGTTTGGTGCTTGCTCGTGGTTTTCGATCACTGGTTGGAGTGGGGTCGAGGAGCTGCCACCCCCAAGAGTCAAACGTTTGCTTCGTGGCCGGGCCGTCACGCCGTGTGGCCGTTCGGGTGCGCACTCAGAACAACGGAACATGTGAGTCATATTGAGCTAGCAGGCCTCCGGGGGGATTTGGTATGGATGCGGTGAAGTGTCCCGGACTGCTAAGGGCATTGGCAAATCCGATTGAAAGCTTCCGACTCACACTGCTGGGTCCCATTTAAGCTTGCAGGCCCGAGAGTTCTGTGAGCAAGTGGGCCTCCCCCTGGAGCTCGACACGGACGGAATTTGGTGACTCGGCGATTGCTTGTGGGCCCCCCGTGTCAAGTCTCGTGTGTGCGCACTTTGGCTGAACAACTTAGAGACAACTGTCCGCAGATAATTGTGCAAGATGGCCACTTGATTCCGCAATGTTGTGGCATATCAGTCAGTTCTTTAAACCGGCCAGCTTTACCGGATGGAGCCCTGCACCTCCACTTGCAAGACATCTTGCTGTATGTGTCATCGTTCGGTTCCAGGACTCCGGACGGGCAGCAGTCCGTGATTCAGGCATCTGCTTCAATCCAATGATGCCCTCCGGCCCTTCAACAAACAGATCCTGAGTTCGGAGCCGGAACTTACATTCAAATCGCCAGCAAACACGTTGGCATAACAAGGGCTAAAGGTCAGGCAAGGCTTAATGATGATCAGAAGTCCTCGTCATCGTTGTACAGATAGCCAACCGCGAAAGTATGGTGTTCGTCAGACCTCATAAGCCCTCAAGCCCTGATAACGAGGTGCCTGCTGCCCAAGAGCTTCCCAGACACATTCAAAATCAAGATGCCACTCGGCGAGTGTCTGTACTTTCTGTAAACATGGAGTCACCTGACGTCCTGGCGGATTCAAGCTGAGCATTCCCATGAGCGATATACGTATTTTTGAGCATCAGGCGCTACATGCTTCCTACTGCTATTACTACTACTACTGCGACGACGATGACTACTTCTACTACTATAGCCTATAGCGGCTACCGCTTCTACTACTACTACTACTACTACTACTACTACTACTACTACTACTACTACTACTACTACTACTACTACTACTACTACTACTACTACTACTACTACTACTACTACTCTAACTGCTACTGCTACGGCTCCCCTCTGGTCCTGCTCCTGCTACTGCTACAAGTGCTACTAGCACTACTAGTGCTTGTAGCAGTACTACTCCAGTTATGTTCTTCGATCCGTGTGTGCCAAAGACCAAACATCAGCCAAACCAACTGTCTGAGGAAGGGTGGCAAAGAGGCCAGGCAAGCTCTTCCAATTCTTCCAGGGCTTGCAGATTTCAGAATTGTGGGTGCGGGCTTGGCTTGAACTATTCACCCTGGCGTTTCCGGAACTCGGCACGCCACATTGCCAAACATGAAGTTCTAAAGCGCGCATGAAGCCTCAAAGGTAGGACAAAGGAAGCAGGACAATGAAGGAGTTCTGTGAACAATGCTTGGGTGCAGAACTGAACTCCCGGCCTCAGGGTTCCCGAACCTTACATGCACACTAGCCTTGAACTTGCTCCACCCCTGTGCAGCTCAAAATGCCCTACCCGAACTGCGTGCTGAACTACCGAGCCACCCGACTGCAAAGTTGAAGACAGTTCGACTCGTTCCAGGGCCGGTGTTTGTTGCTTGAAGGGCCTTCGAATTTGATGGCTTCTGGGAACTTGAGGCTGGTGATCTCTTCCTTTGACTGTTTAGGGGTCAATGTAGGTGCATGCTCGAAGCAGAGGGGCGGCGAGGCAAGGGTGTGGGTTTTCGCGTTTCGTCAAGCTGGCAGAGTTTTCAAGCGTTGGGCAATCTTAGTTTCCACCTCTCTGTAGGCCCTGCTTCGTAAGCAGAAAACCCACCTGGCTTGACTGCTGCCTGCAGTCCCAGAGCTGTTGTTGCATTGGGATACGGTAGGTTCAGGATCAAGTCAAGCGGACACAGCTTTGTGAACTCTTCTTGCGACATGTGTACTGCAAGCCTCCGTCAGTCCGTCAGTCCGTCAGTAGTACCACGACGGCCACCTATACCGGACAACGAAGTTGCACCTGTCCGACTGCCGATCTGGCGAGGTTCACCAGAAGTACACGAATCACCAGTATCAGGATTGGTCGCTTGGCAGCACGCAAGTGGAGTGTAGCCGTCCATGACTGAACCAATATCATGCAGTATGCCGTATAACGGACGGACGATGTGCCTGAGACAGGCTGCATGTGGAACTGTAGCTTGAACTACTGTAGCTCATGTAGGTCAGCAGTGTGAAGCCAAACAGCTGTCAAAACCCCCGTGGTAGAGCCGACTTGCAGGTAGCCCGGCGATGCCACACGGTCTTTCACTTGCCAACTTTGCATTCGACCAAACTGCGTCCCAATGAACTAGTGTAAGGCCCCGAACCAGAAGCACAATGACTCGATTGCTCAAGCCTCTATGGCGTTCATGGTGCATTTCGCCCAGGGACCCCGAGACAAACAGTTGGAAGACGTCGAGCACTCCTGCATATTTCTGAACGTTGCCGGCTTCAGTGGTTGTGCAGAGAGCCCAAGTGCCACCTTCCCTCAGACAAATTTTCCGTTTGATCAGCAAGGTCCTGCTTTCCCTGCATCCAACCTCAGTAGCTGTTCTTGGCTAGGGGTTGGTCGAGATGTACAGCTTGAAGTTCAGGGGTGTGCCCATAGCCTGCAGAATGTTGGTGGGAATTGGTGACGTCAGCCAGGTCAAAACTCCATCCTCTTCGAGATCGACGGGCCATACAAAGTCGATGTCTCACGGAGTTTGGTGTAGGGATATTCCCGGTCCGGCGTTGGGGTTGCATCGTCCTGATCCGGCTTCATTGAGACTCTATTTTCTCGAGCTCGCGGCCTTCAGGGCTGTACCGTCCACGAAACCCTCGCATCATCCCCGAGCATTTGAAGCCCTCCCGAGCTCTTGGCAATCACACACATCCATTCGTTGTCGTCTCATTCTGGACAATGCGAAGCAGGCCCCGAAGTTGTGATCTTCCATGGTGTGGAGCCTTGAGGCCATGATCCTGCCTGCCAGCACAGAGGAGCCCGAACGAGCGTGGTGTTCACCAATGTCGATTACTAACAGGCAAAACCATTCGGATGGCCCAGCTAGGTTCCCCACCGCAATGGTTGAAAATGTTGGGAAGGTGGAGGGGGCAGGGAAGTGATGACAAATCGTGATGGGCGACTGAGTAGGCAGCAGCAGCAGCAGAGTCATCAAGAGGAGCCCAAGTGTTGATCTCTGGCAGGAAAGACGTTGTAGGAAGAGCCGTCTAGCATCCCCAAATCAGTGATTTGCAGGCACTTACGAGCGGAAGCGGCCCTGTAGCTATCATTCCATCCTCCAGGAGGATAAGATGCTCAAGAAGCGCTATGCCGTCTACAACTTCGACGGGCCGGGAATCTGGTGTTTATCTGCACTAGACAAACTCGCATTTTTCATCGCATCGCACAAAGACAAGGGTTTGGGCGTACCTGACCAAGTCCTTCTCTGAGACTGCGAACCTTACACGCCACCCCAAGTCTCTTTTGGAGAAGACGAACCTAGACAACGTTTGTGGCCATTCAGGGTGTTTATCCAGCATGTTGATGGGCGTAGACTAGATGATGACGATGCCCATCATGACATGATGGTGATCGTGATGATGAAGACAATGACGAAGATTGTCGTTCAGTTTGGCGATGGTGAAAACGGCCCCGAGGAGGAGGATGCTGTCTTTGGTGCTTTCGCAACGACCAAGGAGCATCATCATGGTCATGTCCGCAACAATAACCCTCTTCCAAGTCATCATCATCGTCTTCTTCAACAGCAAGAGCTTCATCAGCACCAACCCTCCACCGCCTCAACAGCACTATCATCGTTCTCAGCATCGCTTGTTACCGGATGCAGCGGCAGCTGGTCTTGGAAAACAGAAAAGGGGCTGATGCAGCGGGTCACACGACCACGACAGTACTCAACAGTCCAGCAGGAGTGCCGAGACTGCAGAGCGCAGCCCACTCAAATCTTTAATCTATGGAAGCTCCTGACATGTCGACTCGCTGCCAGGACCCTGGCTGAGCTGAAGGGATTCGAGGCCGGTTCGGGATGACATTGTCGTTCTCCAAGAACTCCAGGTTCGCTGAAGTTTAGGCCTCGCCGCTTCTGCGGGAGCTTCTCCGCCGCTGCGACATGTTGATTCGATACTATCAGCCGACACAAATTCATGTGCTGCATGAGATCTCTTGATCTTGCAAGTTGGCGAAGGTTACAATGAAGAACAGCTTGATGATGACGGCAACGACGATGTTGAATTTGACGATTCGCCGACGGTCTCGATGATTGTAACCAGGTCATCGTGACAGCGCTCGGGTTGCTGCTGATGATGATGAACATCTCTATTCTCGTCCTCCTCCTCATCATCATCGTTGTGTGGACATACATATGTTATACATATATACATATATATATATATATTTATGTATTTATCTATTTATATATGTAGCATCATGCGGCAACGACACCAACGACATAGTTCAGTGTGGCGTGCCACTAGACTGAGCTTCAAACGGTTAGGGGTGAATTGACGGCTTGCCGATTCTGGACTAATGTCTGAGTCCCTAGCTCCTGTACAACACTACACAGGATTCCTCTTCCAGCAGCTTCGAAGCTCGCTCGAGGTAAAGCGCCGCGGTGAGCTTCGGTTGATCCAGGCACAACATCACCAGTTGCGGCAGGCATACATTGTCGGTTGTGCCTTCTTACCCGTCCTTGTTACAATCCTCGGCTCAGTCTTTGCCTTCCCTATCTGTTGCTTACGGTTCAGCGGTTTCACACAGACGCGAGACAAGGTCTTCCAGACCGAGGTCTTCCCAGAGTTCTTGAAGGGGGAGAGCAAGGAGGAGGTTCGATTGCCGGAAAGAACGCAAGACACAGTCATTGCGCACAAAGCGTAACAGTGGCAGTCTGATAATTGCATAAGGGGTAACACATTCAACTAAACAACGAGCAGCAACAACTTGCAGGAATCTTAGTGCAATCTGGTGTAAGTTGCAGCTTCCAATTGCAGCACGGTGCCTCCTGAATTGCGCGTACAGGAATTCAATTACTTGGCTCCAGATGGCTTCATCATGTGCAATGTGCACTTGCTAGAGTTAGCAAAGTTGTTTGGTTGATGGAGAGGGTGCTTGAATCATTGAAGGAGATGTGCCGCTTTTTTCAGCACCTGGGCGTGAGCGCAAACCAGGGTAATGTTTTTGGTGTCATTTCGTGTTTGGCAAGTCTGACATGCCGCTATCGAAACAGAGACTCTGAAGACTCGACGATGTGCAACAAGCTGCTGGCAGCCTTGAGAAAATCCGACCGATGGTACAAACTCTTCGCGACTGGCTTGTACATCGCAGGTCTGGAAGATCGTCGGCGCTATGGCCAATCGCTGGTTGGACGTCATCGAGTCAAGAGGTACCTTGGCCTGCGGTCTTTGAAGGAAGATCGTTGTGAGCCTATGTATAAACAGTGATCAAGAACCTCGCCCGGCCCGGGAAAATGTCCTCGACATGCACAGCCTGAAATCTACGATCAATGTTCTGACCTGGTAGACCTATGATGCAGCAAGCTTGTTCCATGGTTGTGCTGAGTGACTGGTCTGGCTTCAGCAGCCGCCTCGAAGAGACCGATCCGCATTGCCCCTTCGGGCCTTACAACTCAACGATCAACAACAGCATCTCGGTCCAGGTCTTGCAATACTGCCCTCTTCTGGAAGGTGATGACGATGCAGGTTGTGATGCGATGGAGCTGCCGATGACGGCAGAGTTGTTGTTGATGCTGGCTGCTGGCGGTTTGGATGATTGTGCTGCTGCCTGCTGGCTCGTTTCCAGAGTGGGCTTGGTTGGTTGTTGTGGGTAGTAGTGGGGCTGTGTTGATGCTCTCATGGCGGTTTTGCGGTCGTCGACCTGGAAGTGGCGGTGGGCAGGCACTATGTTTGTCTTCCTGTTGTCGTAGTTATCGTCATTCGTGGCAGCGCCGTTTGCTGCTCTTGAAGCTATTGATGGCTGTTGCTTTTATGCGCTCGTGGCCGTAGTTGTAGTTAATGTTTCGGTTGGTGTTTTTGCTGTCGTCGCCGTCGACGGAGTTGTCACTGCCGTTGTTGTTGTTGCCGTTGTCATTGTTGTCGTTGTCGTCGTTGTGGTTGTTGCTGTGGTTGTTGTTGCTCATCCTGGTGCTGGGGCTGGCTAGTGGGGCTAGTACCGGGGCTGGTGCTGTTGCCTGTGATGGTGCTGGTGTGCTGGTGCTGGTGCTCGTGGTCTTGGTCGTGGTCTTGGTCGTGGTCTTGGTCGTGGTCTTGGTCGTGGTGTTGGTGGTGTTGGTGGTGTTGGTGGTGGTGGTGGTGGTGGTGGTGGTGGTGGTGGTGGTGGTGGTGGTGGTGGTGGTGGTGGTGGTGGTGGTGCTGTCGCTGGTGCCGGTGCCGGTGCCGTTGCGGGTGCTGGTGCTGCTGCTGCTGCTGGTTGGTCTTGGCGGCGGCGGTTGTGGTGGTGTCGTTGTCGTCGTCGCTGCTGTTTTCGTCGTCGTTGTTGTTATTGTTGGGTGTTGTTGTTGTTGTTTCTGTTGTTGTTGTTGTTGTTGTTGTTGTTGTTGTTGTTGTTGTTGTTGTTGTTGTTGTTGTTGTTGTTGTTGCTGCTGCTGCTGTTGCTGTTGCTGCTGCTCCGGCTGTTGTCGCTGCTGTCGTCGTTGTGGTCGTGGTTTTAGCTGTGGATGTATTTTTTGTGGGGTCGTGGACTTGGTCGTGGTCGTCGTCGCGGTGGTGGTTGTTGTTGTTTTTGCTGTCGTTGCTGCTGCTTTGTCTTTGTTGTTGGTGCGCTGGCGGCGCCTGGTGGGCCAGTTCCTGGTGATGCTGGCGGTGGAAGCTGGCGCCGGGTGCTAGGTGCTCTGGCTGGTCTGCCGTTGCCGGTGCTGGGACTGCTGCTGGTGCTGGAAGATGTGATTGGTGATTTGGGAGAGCCGTTCCGGTCCGCCGGTGTCATGTGAATTTGGAGTTGCTTATTCCTTCTGGTTGCCCAGGCAGCACGATGACCAACGACGAGGCCACCGACAGCAAACGATGGGTGTGGTAGGCGGTTTTGAGTCCTGCCTACCGGTCAGGTCCAACAGAAGACTGTAGACTCTAGGCTTTACGAGCAGCTGGGGACTGGCGCGGGTGGTTTCGTGTAGTGACTAGTGGCAGCTTAGAACGTTCGCAGAGGTCTTGTCTTGACTCAGCGCCTGAACTGTCTTGTGATTTCACAAGCTGGCACAAAGGTGATCCATTTCTTCTCTGAGAACAAGACTATGAGCAAGTCTGTGGAGCAAGCCGGGTCCTACAAGTCCGTGCAGGCCGTGAGAGCCCTCCAACGGGCGTGAGGGCTCAGATTAAAACTGGTGGTGCAAGTCAGGACTTGGTCACTGGCCAGCAGAGTTCGATGGTGCAGCACATGCTCCGAGAAGCACTAGATCAAGGGAAATGATGTCTCTGCCGCGATCCTGCGATCCAAACGACAGGCAACCACCGTCCGCCGGCTGGCCGAGTTCCTCGGCGTACCCTCCATGCTCCAGGCACTCACTTCCTTTCATCTCCCACTGCGTTTTAGGAGTCTCTGTTGCTATTAGTATTATGGTATCATGCACTGTGCAACAGGTTCGTAAACTGCGCGTTTGGGAATGCAATATTTAATCTGCTTCTTCCGTCGCGTCTTCTGCACCAGACATGTCAGCTGAGCCGAAACCTTGCGGGGTTGCTCTTGGGCTCAGTCTTCCTGCAGCAATTACCCTTCACCTTGCTTGTCTGGTTCGCACATGCAATGGTTTTTGCGCAGAACAGCTTGGCACAGGGGTTGGGGCAGCACAAGACCAGAATGCTGGTAGAGTGGACACACACAGGGTTCTGCGTGACTGTGACATCCATATGTGATGCTTGTCGTACTTCGTAGACTCTGTTTTTGTGCATGTGTTTGTCCTTTGTGGAGTCTCGGAAAAGATCCAAAGCTTGGCCGGGTAAAAGTAGTTCCGCCGATTTTATTTGTTCAGGAGAAGCTCTGACATCTCTTGCATTTGTCAGCATTCCAGGCTGATTTCTGACCGTGGTTCCAGCTCGCAGGATTCCGTGACAGAGAGAGGTCAGTCATCAGTCGCGTATCTTTCTGAGTTCGAAAAGGCTATCTATGTCGAACCCTGAATTCAAGCGAGTACGTACTTATGTAGTCCTCAGACTAGCTACTGCAGGCAGAGGGCATCAGTGCTCACATGCTCATTGCAAACAAGCCCGTGAATGCCAGCTGCAGCCTCAGGACCTTAGTTCACGCCTGACCTCGGCCCTACCTCGCTGGATTGCACAGATTGGCAGCGTAGCAGTGCAGAGATCTCGACAGGGAGTGTTCAGCGCGCGTCTGCCTCCGCATGGTGGGCGTTGGCACTTCATAGCAATCGGTGAGTTGTAGTGCCATGCATTGGAAGTGTGCTAATTGCTCTTGCCACTTGACTTTGCCGCATCTCGGGTTTTCAGTTTGGGTACAGCAGCCTCAGAGCCCTAAAGACGGCAACCCGATGAAGCGGAAGCACTCACGCGCCATGCAAGCAGAATCAAGTTGTTCGCATTAGGACTACTGGCTCCACTCACAACTCGACCGAAGAAAAGCCAAGGCTGCACGGAGCGTGCAATTCCAGTCAAGATCTTCTTTGCTGAAGAGGAAGTGAAGAAGGCAACCCATCCTTTCAACGTATCGGATACTTCACGAGCGGTAGACCTCCAGCTACGTGGTTGGGAATCAAGACAGTGCCACTTGTTGATCTGTCGGCAAACCAACGGAACGTTGTTTGATTTTTGGAGGAGGGAGACGTCCAGCTTGTTTGTTCGTGTGTGTGTGTGTATGTGTGTATATATATATATATATGTATGTACGTATAAATATATGTACGTCGTTGTACGTGTGTGTGTGTGTGTGTGTCTGTCTGTGTGTGTGCGTGTGTGTCTGTCTGTGTGTGTGTGTGTGTGTGTGTCTGTCTGTCTGTGTGTGTGTGTGTGTGTCTGTCTGTCTGTGTGTGTGTGTGTCTGTCTGTGTGTGTGTGTGTCTGTCTGTGTGTGTGTGTGTGTCTATGTGTGTGTGTGTGTGTGTGTGTGTCTGTCTGTGTGTGTGTGTGTGTGTGTGTGTGTGTCTGTGTGTGTGTGTGTCTGTGTCTGTGTCTGTGTGTGTGTGTGTGTCTGTGTCTGTGTCTGTCTCTGTCTCTCTGTGTGTGTGTGTTTTTTGTGTTCGTGTGTGTGTGTGTGTGTCTGTTTGTGTGTGTGTGGTTCTTTGTGTCTATGTGTCTGTGTGTGTGTGTTTGTGCGCACAGCTTGCCTTTTTGCTTGTTTGTGTTCTGCGTATACATGTTTGTGCTTGGTTGAGTGTCTGTTGTGTTGCCTCGTGCCCCTGCGTTTCTTACCAACTGGCGGTGAATAAAAACCGACAGAAAGGTTAGGAATCTGGGATGATTGGGCAAGAAGTCGAAGTTAAGACGACTTATGCGATCAAATCTAGCTGTACCCGTGCAGACATGGCTTCGGCATTGGCTGCAAGACAACAGCTTGACCGACTTCGACATGCGCTCGATTATCGACTGGGAGTATTACAAGGCGTGGGTTTCCATGTCTCGAGCTCGATCAGGGCTGGGTAGTTAGCTGAGTCTGTTCCGAATCAAGGTTCAGCAGGAAGGTTTGCTTTCTATTGGAGCTGCAGGGATTGAATCTCCGGTTGATTCGTTTGATCGTGTGTCCACATTGCCCACTGTACAAACTCGTGCCGTCCGATAGTTAATGGCTGTCAAGTGTTTTAGACATCCGCTGGGAGTTTGCAGTAAGGCTGAGAGAATCACGGAACCAGTCACATCGGCATGCGAGGGTGCGAAGCAGCCTTGGCACTTCGGGAAAGTTAATCAGCAGAGGTTTGTTTGGGAATCCTTGTGGAAGCGGGTGGCCTGATCACTGCCGCCGTGAGTCGAGCTAGTCATGCCGCCGAGCAGCTTCCCTCCTTTTTCGACGTGGTCTCAGGAGCGCCTTTGCGCCGTTTTCCAGAAGCTCATCTCTATTCCAGTCAAGACCTCGGCCTTCGCCGCCTTCGATTCTAAGTCCTTACAGGTCATTGGTTCTGTCTATAACGGGATACTATAATATATGGTACTAGAAGGGGTACCATAAGGGATACTAAAGGGGATACTACACTATGGTACTATTTACATGCATTTGAGAGGCCCTCGGTCAAGGCATGTCTCAGCGGCGGACCGGATTGAGACACACGGGAAGCTGTGACCTGGAACTGCGAAATCCAACGAAGAAGGAGAACACATAACTCGCCGGCTCAAATGCCTCCTGACAGAACAAGGAATAAGAAGAAGCGGAGTGAAAAGATTCGCAATAGCGGTCGCGATTCCAGAACATACGCCACGGCATCAGATCTGAAGTATAACTTCTGGACGGAAGAATGGAGGGATGGATGGATAGGTGGATGCACAACTCGGTTTGCACATGTGTTTGCAGGCGCAATAAGCCTGCTTGAACCAGTGTGTGGCTTAAGACTTAAGTCGACAGACCTTTTGCCTGAAGACCCAGGCAGCTTACCAGAAGATCTCCAACCCATGCCCCCGGGTCAAGGTGCTCGGGGTTGGATGGGACTGAACCCGCTGTGCTTTGGGTAGTGCTCCGGTGTCTGGGGTGCCTACGCTTAATGCCGGGCGGACACCGCAACAGTCTTCCATTCGCGAGTTTACCCGTTTTGTTCGCATTCGCTTGTGGCCACCACGAAGATGTTCAGGGAGGCCCAAGGCCAACAATCGGCCAGGAAAAAAGATGCATCGCCGAAATCCCAACATAAGTTCTCAGGCGACAGGCAGAGTCGGTCTCGAACGCTCCTTCCAACAGCTGTGTTGCTGAGGCTTTCGGCATATGGGGATATTTGTACACACCCTCGGCACCGACAATGCAGATCACTAAGGGAGGCTACAGCAGCACCTAAAAATCCTCGGAGCTGAAGTAAGATGGTGATGCCGCTGCTTGTGATTTTCGGCACTTGTGTCACGATGAATTAAGATCGAGTTTCATTCCGGGGTATTGCGATAAGAAGGGGAATTAGTAAATCTTCGTGCGCATTATGCTATCGTGATTTATCTTCCTCTGTCTCCTTTGCTCAGCCAGGTCCCTGAGTGGCTGCGGAAGCGCGTGGCGGAGCAAAATGCGGGGTACCTGGTGCGTCTTTTTCGACATCAGCGGTATACCTTTCGTATGGTACATGTCTCACACGATTGTTCAGACTACTTAGTGTTTTTCTGCTGCTAAACATGAACCACTGTCTCTACAGGAGGTGAGAGAGCTCCAACAAAGCCCTCCCCTCAAATCAAAGCCCAAAGACTTCTCCTCAGGACCAATTCAAGCAGCGCAGTTTGGGAATGTGGTTCCGACCGGCAGCGAGCAGGCCAACCTTTGACGGACTCTTCCTAGTACACACCTCAACTCCTTCGGAGAAAATGGTGTCCCTTCAGTGATGAGGCAGTGCTGCCATCCCGCCTTAACCTTAACATTGGGCAGCATTCCGGCCCTCTCACACAATATCACTGCACAAGTCCTCTAGCAGCGAAGCCAAGACCTAAGGCATGCTCATTTGGTTTGAACCAGCCAGGCAGTCAGGCAGTGAGTCAGCCGATTATACACTAGTCACTAGCTCATGCATCAGTTTATTCATCCATGAACCCTCCTGTCGCTCTCTCTCTCTCTCTCTCTCTCTCTCTCTCTCTCTCTCCCTCTCTGCCATGTCTCTGTGCATCCAACTATTCATCTCTCTATGTATCGCTCGTTCTCTCTTTCTCTCTCTCGCTCTGTCTCTCCATCCGTCTCTCGTCGTCAGTGTTGAAATTCGTGAGTGTTGGATCCAACGACTGGCATACAATGAATCGCCACTGGTAGCTACCCGGAGCTACCCATTGCATCAGCAGCCTTTGAATTTGCACCGTGCTTTGGATCAGGGGCAGCCCTGTACACAGCCGACGCTCTACGCAGCTACCCTGGAATCTACCTAGAAGCCTTCCCATCTCAAAGTCCCGTTTTAATTCAGCACAAACATATTGAAGTTCTGCTGCGATATTCGGTGTAGTTCTGCAGAGTGCAGGTGTGCAGACGACGATCATGGATTCGAGGCTACCCGGAAAGCTTACCGATGCTTTGCGCAGGGCTTTTGAGAGTGGTCCCTGGAAAGCTGCAACACGAATGGATATCAAGCGCGCCGGTTTTCGGGGGTATGCTGCATCTTCATTGTGGCTAATTCAGAGCTTAGCAGATGCCCCGACCTCGCTGGGAATCCACGTTGGTCAGTGTCATTGGCATGTGGCTATGACGGCTATGAGCTTCCGGAAAACTTCACTAGTCAGCTTGTCTGCAGGGCAAGCGCAAAATCGGAGACATGGAGGACTTGGCAGGCGTGGCTCCGAAGCTTTGGAGCAACAACTGTCTGCATGGCGGCGTCAATCCACTGGGTGTGTGAGAGCCTGATGTCCATGACATGCCACTCCAGAAATCAGGGAGACACGTCATTGCCCGCTTTGTTTGGGGTCTTTTCAATTGAGTCACAAAATCTACAAACCCCCACCAAAAACAACTGAACTCCCACTGAAAACAACTAAACTCCCACTGAAAACAATTAAACTCCCCACTGAAAACAACTCCCACTAAAAACAACTGAACTCTCACTGAAAACAACTAAACTCCCACTAAAACAAACTAAACTCCCACTAACAACAACTAAACCCCCGCTGCACTGCAAACGACAATTACAGGGAGGAGCAGGTCACTGAGCCATCATGCATAATAATCAGCGATCCAATCCCACCAAAATCCTACTTAAATCCCACCAAACTCCCACCAAACTCCCACAGAAATCCCACTTTCTGGCTCCGGGTATGCGGTTCCCGCACACTTTGCACGACAACCTTACCCCACCCAACATGTACAATGGAGAGTGACGGTCAAATCCTTCCTCACAAAATCCTTATATTTTCCCTAGGTTTTCCCAGCACCCCGTTGCACGGGAATTTATAGGGAATTATGTGGGATTTATGCGGTGTGAGGCCTAAGATAAAGAAGGGTCACTCGAAGAAGCACGAAGGCGCTTTCAAGAAGAAATCTCCGCAGCTGCGGACGACTTTCAATTTGAATTTTCTACTCAAGATAGGGTTTAAGACAGAGTGAATCCAGCATATTATGTCGAGGTCGTCCAAAGTTGTGTTGGTAAATCCTGTCGGCACAGCACACATCCTATCTAGGCTGACCACAAGTACTGGGTAGGCTTTAGGAGCATGCAACTGAACTTGATGGCCTGCTGCAGTACCAGCGGCGTGCTGTAATAAGCTCGCAAAATGCAAGGTCCACTGTGCTAGGCCATCTTCTTTCAGCCGAGTATTCCAACCAAAGTGTGCTCCCAAAGTTGAGTGAGAAGCTTTCGTTTGCACTCAAACTTTGTCCGAAAGACTTGCAGTCACCCCAAGACCTCGCTGCAGGCAGCAAGAAGCTCGAAGACTTCCCTCAGCTCGAGTACGGCGAAGGACCCAAGAAGTGGCTCCAGGCAGAGGGGTTCATGTCTTTAGGCTTTCCGAGACTTTGCTTTTCGAGACCAGGTTCTGATATAGTGGCCTTGGACTGAGGTCACTGAGGTTGGTGGGTTTGTAGGGCATCGGAAGGCTTCAAAACCATCAGCAATCCGCACAGAGCATGCCAAAGCGGCACATTTCTCTACAGCACATGGCAGCACCGCAGCCATTTGAGCAATCAACTGACAGACTTGACTGATTGGGCGCTAATTACGGCATTGACGGCACAAGCGGCACCAGCATGTAGTTTCGCCATGCGCAGGTTCAGAAGATGAGGTGGGCAGCAGGCACGGCTCTCAGTATGACCATGACCACCGCAGCAGATGCGTTTGCCCAATCGCTGTAGTTGCGAACACTCAGACCCTGCATGTTTTAAGCTGACGTTGGTTGCGCTGAGCGAGGTCAGGCAGCACAGTCCGGAGGCCGAGCGACTCTTCAAGCAAAGTGCTTGGAGCCTTTTTAGCTCCTAGTCCTAGTCATCTAAGCCCCTAAACTCGTTATGGTCACCGCAACCGGGCAAGCAAGAATCCAAATCTTTCGAGTGGAACTAATGATGGCATGCATCATAACACAGTAATCACTGCACAGGGGAAGGAGATGCAAAGACAAGGGAAAAGGGAGACAAGGAATCAACCGGGTTCCATGCGTGGGTAGCGAAGATCGGATACGGCCTGAATCCGAATTGCAGGTGCCCGACGCTACTCGCTCTTTGACACCGGCGCTGAGTACACATCCCTGCCACAAGAGGCAAGTACAGTATCACGAAATGCGGGAGAAGTCATCGCAGGAGCCCTACACCGCAACGGCCCGAATCCTTGTAACGCCTGCGCTTTTGAACAGGGTGTGTGACCGAGGTATATCCGAAAAAGGCATCAAAACCTGGTCTCTGGAGTCTCAACGGTTTTAGGGTCTCCCATACCTGACAGCTTCAAGCTTCTCACTCCGGTTGTTCGGACAGTGCGGAAGGCCATGCAGCCAGGGAGGGTTGAGTCAAGCCTGTTGGTGTAAACATCAGACGTGTGATGTTGAAGGTTCAGATCCAGGGGTTCGACACTCCGAGCTTTGCTTTGGATACTTCATCTGGATATTGGAGTTTACTTCCCGCAAAAGTGGGCAGCAAACTCCCGAGAGCCTTGAAGAAGATTCTGGCTTGAGCAAACAGTTGTCCCAAAAAGTCCCTGCAGCCTTCTATCGAAAGATCTCGATGAAACGCTGAGGCCCTAAACCCCTGAAGCACAAAACCCAGCAAGAACTTAAGATGCGCAGGCATTGACTTCCGCTTGGCACGTCCTGGCTGTAGCTGGGCGGAGACCGGGTGGAGTGCGTCTTCTTTGAGGGAGGGCTATTAGGTTTAGGATGAGGGTGCGGTGGAACTTGGGCATGAGACCGGACGGAGTATTCGCATGCTGGCAGGGCTCGAAGTCAAAACTGCGCAGCTATTATGTCGCAACTGATATGCAGAGTCCAGAGATGCCCGGTCTGGCTCCGATACACAAACGAGCACCTGGAATGCAGCTCTAATTGCGAGCACTGTTAGTGGACATCTCTGAAGTGTGTTCGGGTCCTCTGCACAGAGCATCCATGGACAGTGCAGCAACAATGCCAAGCAACAATGCCAAGCTTTAACCAGACGTGGTTATGGGTTCGGATGGGCGGGGCGCGGGTTGGACGTTCGAACTGGCTCTGGGATAGCAGGTTGGCGCATGTATGGGGTAGGGTCTTCTAGTCTTGAAGGAGCCTTCGCAGTCGTGTCCTTGGCCATTGAAGCCTAGCATTCTAGCAGTCCTACGCGTGAAGCATGGTGCTCCTAGGGGGGCCTGAAGTTGCATCCGGGCGTCATCGGGAGTCCAAGTAGCAGACCTCAGACTCCACAAGAGATAGTGGCACGAACTTAAGTCCCAACTCCGACCTACTGCAGCCCGGAAGGCCGTTTAAACAAAAAGCAAAGCTCCCAGCTCTCAAACTCACAGAAGCCTTAAAGCAACAGGGCTTCACAGGGCCACACCCGAGAAGCCTGAACAAATCGCACCTTTCCCCAGTTTGTCTGAATCGGCAAATATTAAACTAAGCGCATATACCATAATACACTTTCTGTGTGTAGTTATATATATATATGTGAATGAATAGGATATTGAGACTAGTACGATCTATTAAACCGTGGCGCTACCTTGCGAGGTAGAGCCGAGCACCAGCTCCTCTGAGCTCAAGGCCAATGTGTGTTCTTCAACAGGTTGGGAGGTCGGTTCTGGTAGAACTTGTAGAATAGAAGACTACTGTTACTGTTACTGTTACTACTACTACTACTACTACTACTACTACTACTACTACTACTACTACTACTACTACTACTACTACTACTACTACTACTACTAGCAGTAGTAGGAGGACTGCCGACACGCAGCAAGGCACAAGAAAGCTCAATCTTTCTGCCGCCGATCGACAGGTGGGAGACTCCGTGTTGGCCGAGGTGGCCGTGGACTATCTCGATGACCTAGGCCTGCCATGGTGGGACCTGGGAGGCGTTCGGCAAGTGGATGGAGAGGGCCTCACCCACTCGACTTCAGCAGCCTTGCAGCGCCACTGAGTGCATCTTGAAGCACACCCGTCCGGCCTCCTGCCTGTGAAATCAACCTGTAGGACTCTAGGTGAAAAGGAAACCAACTGCCAGCCCCCTGAGCTCCCAGCGCCAGATTCACACCATCCGGAAGAGCGGGTCGAGGTCTACAAGGGCACCATCTTGGGGTTTGTGCGCAGCCTAGGATACTCTTGACTCTGGGATGACACTGTGACGTTGCGACCAATCCGGAGCGAACGGACGTTCTCCGAGCTACTTTGGAGAGAGATCACGCTAAGAGTTACCCAGATCGTTGAGCTGGAAACTGTACAGTAGGGGGCCAGCCAGCTGAATTCGAGAAAAGCCTAGATCATCTTCTTCGGATGAAGATGAAGGCAAGGACAAAGACAAGCATCAGCACGACGGTCGTGATGAGAAATGATAATGAGGGTTCTAACTCACACTCAAATGACAACAATGCTGCTGATGATTTGAAGGAAGATATGATGGCTAGTTTCGATGAGTGTTGGGCGTGATGGAGCGTGCAGGATGCTCGAAAGCTTCCTGCCCTACCCGCGGATGGAGTTTTAACTTATGCCTGAGCATTCACGAACCGGAAGTCATTATCATCACATGAGTTGCTCTCGATGTTTCGGCCCTTGACGCCGCGGAACGTAATTACAGAAACAAGCTGACACCCAGATACCTAAGACTTCAAGCAGCATTGGCAACACGAAGATACTTGTCCATATTGAGAGACTCTTGAACACTACTCTTGAATGCAAGCAGCATGAAGATACTTGTACATATCCAGAGACTCTAGAACGCAAGCGAAAGAATTGCAGCTCAAAGAAGCCCGCTTAGGTGGGAGGCATGGTCCGTGTCATGCTGGACACCGGCGAGGCTTGGATTTTAGCTCGACGTAATCACAGTCTTTGTTTTGTGATGTTGGCACGGTGCTGAAGACAGTCTCACAAGAGGTAGAAAGCCTTCCTGTTTGGTTTCGTTTAGAGAGACTGCGATTAGAGGAACGTCCCAGCGAAGTTTGTTCCAGATTCAAGTAATTACCACATGCATCCGCAACAACACCAAACCCGTGAAGCCCAACGAATCATTTTCTGGAACGATGGTGCCTGTAGGTGGGAGCGATGTTGTGTGTTCATGATTTTGTGGTGGTGAGTGTTACACTGTTACGAAGGCAGAATGGAAACGATGGGCAGAGCCAAAGAAAGACACTGAGAAGAACAAGGGAACAGAACGGACATGAAATGATGTGAAAGGGCTTTCCGGCTTTCCTTAAAGCGACTCCCTTTCCTACCTGCCCGAAGAGGAAATGGTGCGTCAATGGGCGATGCTAGCCGGGGAATTCTGCTTCCCAAAACGAGATGTTGGCTTTTCCTCCCCAAACACCGCAAATCCAAACCATTGAGTGGATGGTTCCTGCAAAGGGAGAGCCCAAACCCTAGCATAGGACCTGTAGGAGATGGTAACACGAAGGGGAGTGTGGGCTCTCCACGCATTTTTGTCACTACGACTACGACGACGGCGATGCTACAAGACCCCAAGAAAGGTCAGACAAATTCCGCAACAGCTTGTTCAGTCTGAGCTGCAAATGCTACGCCGATGCGGCTCAACAGCTCTGACTGGACTAGGAGCAGTACGAGCGAATGGACGCATGGTGACATTCCTGCACTGCCCCATGAAAGTCGCATGCGTCTTCTCTACAGTCTGTTCCAAACTCCGTTTCCTTTGCTTCCTTGCGGTTCTCATGTTGCATCTGCCAGATGCAGCACTTGCTGCGTTGTGAAATTTGAACACTTTACGGCTCGTGCCTAGAGGAGCAAATCCTCAAGCGATCTTCAGTGCAAGCCGTGAAGGCCGGGCACTGCGAAACCCTTGTTGAAACCGGGGCTAGGCTTGGGTCGGGATTGCGTCAATGTGTTCCGAACCTTGAGGAAGCTCCCTTGGACTAAATCGTCCGCTATCTGCTCCGATTCCGAGGTTGCACTTGATTGATCATCATATTGCAAAGCGTATATGCTTTCCTTGAGGATCGGTGCAGGACGACAGCAAACGGGCTTGGTAGGGTTAGCAGTGTGCTGCAGAATGCTGCAGAGTCTTCCGATGTTAGACTAGAGCTGTCTCCAGCTGTTGTTTACAGTCGCAGACCCTTACACTGCCTGTGCGAGGACGGAGGCCTTTTCACCGTGTGGGTGGCTGTTGGAGATGGCATGGCGGTGTATCGATGTGAGGCGGCACTGCGATTTCTCATCCTGGGCCGTGAATTGCAGATCAGGTCACGTATTTGGCATGGGAGACAAGGAACCCTAACCTTCACAGGCCACCTTTCAACTCCCCCTTTAGTTCTGCGCAAGGGTCTTCGCAGGCCGCTGCGGCCACGCAGGAGACGCAGATCCAAGATCTCATCCCTTCAATTCATTCGCCCACTTTAACCTGCACGCACGTTCTTCGTAGCGAGTTCAGCGCGGCCCGAATTGCGTTCTGGTGTGTCTGACTGCATCTTATGCGCGTGCGGTGCTTGTACTATGGTTCCCGCAGCTCTCCTGAAATCCTGGAAGCGACTGCCTGCCAGGTTCTGGTGAAGCGACAAGTCATCTTGGCCCTAGAGTCCGGCCCCAGGCTAAATGGTCTGCGATCAGCTTATGTCTGATAAGCATCAAGAAGGATTCCTCGTGACATTCAGATTTCAGCTTGTAGTCACGGCTCACTACACAGGGACCTGACACCCTCAATTTGAATTGCGACCTGCGAGTAACTTTACAAACACCGCAAGGGCCTTGCTCACATGATCTCAGTCGTGAGGCGGACGTCCCTTGCAAGCTTTCTTGCAGGCTTTCGGTGTTGTTGCACATTTCGCGCTGTTTCCCGTGCGAAATTTCCAGTACATATCCGCACATGCAGAGTGCTGTCCTACTGGATCCAAAGCTAAGAGGCCTAAAGTTTCTGGCCGTGAACTGTCTAATCCGTGTCAGAAATCCGGTGAATGCAGTTCATCGATTCCAGACGGGAGCCTCGCAACTGAAAAGCTGTTCTGCTGGCTCCGAGGCAGGATGTCGTCTTCGACTCCTCAAGGCAGGTGCGGCCAGTCGACCTCTACAAGGTGCTTGCAGGGGGTTACTTGTTTGCGAGAGCTTTTTTGACGAGAGCTGCGGGCGTTTCCATATGCAACATCTAACGACGTTGAGTAGAGGCCATGATGCGGGTACGAGGCCCGCGATCAGTTGACTCACGCCGCACGCCTGCGGAATGCATTCGGTTTTCCGGGTAATTAGCTTGCATATTCGCTTCGAACTTAAACATGACCCCGCGGACAAACGGACCATGCAGAGTTGTTGTCAAGGTAGATTCTTCCCTGAGTCGATCTCTTATCCACCCCCCTGCACCTCCCTGTCCGCCCATGCCCCGCACAGCCGAAAGGTCCAAATAGCCAGCTGTAGTGTCACCGGAAACCCGCGACCGTCCTTGTCAATGCAGGGCCTACATGTGACCTCGCCACACCGCGGTGCCGGCGTCTGGGCACCCAGAGAATGCAGCATCCGAGGTTCGGCACATGACAGGTGACAGGCATCAGGTATCATCAGGGTGGCAGCGGTAGCTTCAGAGGGCATTGGCAGAAATTTGTGCTCCGCTCCCTGGCCCAGAGCCAGTCGCGAAACAAGAATGGGGCGAATCATAGTACAATGGTCAAGGTGCTGGTCAGCATAAGCATCCTAACCTACGTGATATGGTAGCAAGATGTAGCAAGCACGATGTTCACTTTGACAGTTCCATACTGGTGATGTCAAAAAATCAGTGGTTTTGGCGGTCTCGCAGCCCCCCCTCTTCACATAATGTACGGTTTGTCCCATGTCTCAGTGCATCCCGAACGCCTGTAATTTGGAACCGCAACATGGCCTTCCCTGCGTGCATGTGAGCCCTAGACAAAAGCACAGACCTGCTTACTTGTTTCTGGATTTCGCCTTCGTTTGATTTGAAGTATTAAGAGTCACCACTCGCAGATCGCACTATGGCTATTTGTCTTGCAGGGTGCATTCCTAGCAGGGGCATTCGTCCTGACTCTGCCTTGAGGTGGTCGCAAATGTCGCACCTGAAATCGGGCTTTGCTCCGTGCGCTGGGAGGAGAACGGCATCACAGAGGCCTTGGGCTGGGTTGAAGAGTCTAGATGACAGCCTGGGCTTGAACGAGGAGAAGCGTGGGATTGCGTGCCGAAGGGGGGAAGGGTTCGGAAGAGCACCAGAAGTCGATAGCAGCCTTGTTTAGACGTGGAGGCTGGGTCCTCACTAGCAGGGTCAGATTAGGTGGAAGGGTTGAGTAATGTCGATGGCTCCTTCATGGGCGTTCATGACATATCACTCGGGGAGCCTCGAGTGATTGTACTCAAGTTCAAACTGTATTGGGGCGACTGCGATGCAATAGTTAGTGGGCAATACTGCCCATCCAGGTTCCCAGGACGTTCGCATGGCACAACTGGATCTATGGCTTCAGGGTCTACGGGCTCCCAAGCAGTACCTTCTGGTCTAGCATTGCAGCGTGCAAGAACTGCATAGCGTAGTTGTCTGTCCTGCAGTAGTCTTTGTGCAACTGCGTCTGCCAAGCGAGACTAATCTTGCTCAGCGACATCGCCCTTGCAGCATGTCAATCCTGGGCTAGTACGTGACTAGTTTGGCATGGGTCTGTATTTTATCAAGAGTATGTGTGCAAAACCTGGCTTTACTTCTTTGGGTGCTCCCGCCAGAGTGCCAGGTCGTTCCCAGCAAGGATTTGTTCATGACCGGCAGCGATGCCACAAAGGCCGCAGCGAAGCAGAGTCTGGGAGCAGCAGAACAACTCTGGATCCAAACCGTTGGGATCGAAACCGATGCTCAGTGTGCGAATCCAATCAAAGCTCCAAGCACTCTGATGTAAAGACCGGTTCTTGTTGCTCGATCAATCGTGCTGCCGACGCAGACTTCACAACTGAGAGCCCCCTGAACATTGAGACTTTCTGAGAAGAGACCTTTCCTGCAGGTCCTTCGGGACGCCCCACGAAATCTACATCATCCTTGCCTGGTGCAGCTCTCTCCTCGATGTTTTCGACAGATTACACACACACACACAAATGCATGCATACATACATACATACATTTACATACAAAATGTAGCAATGTATCAGATGCCTATTGCAGATGGTAGCTCCGATCCGTGGAACACTGACCGTATGTAGCAGTCCCGCCAATCTGCTTTATTCAGTGTATACGTATGCGAAGATGCTAGACACAAAAATATTGTGTGGTCATGGTTTTTACTGAGGATGATGGAGGTGACGACGATCCCAACTGAATTGCTGTCGAGCGTTACCTATGTTGTCATGCTTCATTATGTCATCTGGACATGCACATACTGCGTCGCAGGCACGTGTTATCGACCCCAAACTCACATTGAGTTTATAGTTCCGCTATGTTTGTCGCGAACCTGCCAGTGCCTTTCTCGGCACCTGCGCAGACATACTCTGCAGGTAAACAACCACTAAAGAAATCATCTTCTCTCGGCTGCCATGGCTTGAGATAGCCACCTGAGAAGTCCTTGGCATGGGCTGCATGGGCTGCATGGGTGCCTTCCTGTGAGCCCCAGGATGGAGATGACGGAGACGGAGTTTCAGCAGCAGGAGAGCGAGGCACATCTTGCAGCATCGTACCAGAGACGAGCTCATGCTCTTAATCTTGTCCCGCTCCTGTTAATTTGGAAGCTTGCCAGCAGGCCACAGGCTGATCGCAAATGAAGCCATTAGATCCAGACATGCCAGGTTCTTGGTTTGGTTTCAAGCTTCAGTTTGCCAAACCGACTCCACATGCAAAAGGCATGCAACGCTGCCCTCGTCAAATTGTCATGAATCTTCATTCTGTCAATCAGTGCGGGGGAAGAGAAACTCGCTAGCATCCACACGCAGCGCGCGAGAAGCATGTCCAGGGACGTGGGCTCTGCCTGTATTGCGGTGCAAACTTTGCGCTCACATCCTTTTTTTACACAAGCGCGTGGCGGGGTTGTCAATACAAGTACAGACACATTCTCATGCAGAACTAGTTTGCACCGGTTCGTTTGCCAAACTAAGCGATGACTATACCGTACTACGCTTCATGGTTGTTTGCCCTCAGGGGTTCCATGGAGATCTGCCTGCCAGCGTCCGCGTGAGCTCCGTGTACGAGGTGGGGAGAGAGGCAGTGTAGACATTCCGATCGATTTTCAGCTGTGGACCAAAAAAGACGTTCCCTGAATCCTGCTCCAGCAGACAGTTGACGCCCAAGCAACACTTGTGATTTCATTGCCCAGACTCTAACACAATGTCCAAACTGCCCAAGCCGCCCAAGCCCCCCATGTTCAGCACCCGAATGCAGGCCGAATCCCCTTTGCTCTTCGATGTCATTTGTCGGCTCGGTCCACTGGCCCGGTCCTTGAGGGCAGGGTATGGGGCTGAACCTCCGCGTACAGCAACAACAGCAGTGACAATGGCTGTCCATCTGGCTATGACTCTCGCACAAATCCTGAAGCTTGTCCGTGTTGGTATTATAACTTGTTATTGCTCACAGCAAATATTGTTTCGGTTGTAGTAGTTATTATTTGTTTTTGGTAGTGGTCGTCGTCGTAGTCGTAGTCGTAGTAGCAATGTTAGCGGCAGCAGTAGTAGTAGTCGTTGTCGTAGTAGTGGCAGTGGTTTTGGCAGTAGGAGTAGCAGGAGTAGGGGTAGGAGTTGCAGTAGTAGTAGTAGTAGTAGTAGTAGTAGTAGTAGTACTACTACTACTACTACTACTACTACTACTACTACTACTGCTTCTACCACTACTACTCTAACCACTACCACCACCACTACCACCACCACCACCACCGCCACCACCACCACCACCACCACCACCACCATCACCACCACCACCACCACCACCACCACCACCACCACCACCACCACCACCACCACCACCACCACCACCCCCACTGCCACTGCTACTGCCACTGCTACTGCTACTGCTACTGCTACTGCTACTGCCACTGCCACTGCCACTGCCACTGCCACTGCTACTGCTACTGCTACTGCTACTGCTACTGCTACTGCTACTGCTGCTACTACTACGGTCGTCGTCGTATTAGTGTAGCAGCAGCAGCCGCTGCAGAAGCAGCAGCGGTAGCCGTGGCAGAGGTAGCTGTAGCAGCAGTAAGTGGCGGCAGCAGTGCCACTGTCAGTAGCAGTGGCCGTGGCAACAGCGTTAGCGGCAGCGGCAGCAGCAGCGGCAGCAGGAACAGCAGGAACAGCAGGAGCAGTAGTCGCAGCGGGGGCGGGGACTGGGGCGAGAGCGGTAGCCGTGACGAATGCCATCCAGGAAATACTTTCAAACAGGCAACCAGAGATAGTAGACGAAGAGTTCTAGAGGTGATTAATCCCACTGCTGACAAGCACACGAAAACAAACAGTTGAAGTCGTGACGCAAGGACAACCTGCATGATCGAAACAATAACGGTGCCATTCTTGCCTGGTTCCTTACTATGCCATGGTCGCTTCTACAGGTGTTCCCCGTTCTGACACGAGGGATCACGGATGATCACGGACTTTGAGCACAGGAGAGACCCGGGACTCCTGGAGACTGCAGCTACTGAGTTCACGGCCGAAGTGTAAAGCGAAGTCAAACGATCTTCCCCACAGGCGGCGAGCATCCTCTTGTCTTTCCTTTTCTCAAAATCCTCGAAATTCAGCCATGCCACGGAGGTCAAGTTCTCCCCATCGCCTGGGGTCAAGGACAGCCAGGCGCGAGGCCTGCGAAGGATCGATGCCAAGGACTCTTCGAAGATTCAGCTCCTGAGTTCTCCTTGTTTTCGATCGGGGCATTGAGACTTTTCACGTTGCTTCAACGGCTCATCAGAATATCCGCTTGCCTGTTGCTGTTCAGACACACCCTTGAGCACGGAAGGGATGTTAGACGTTGACGTGTTCAAAAGCATTCGGTGACATAAATGCTTGCTTTACAATCGAGCTCTGCCCCGACCTTCAAGGCTCACTCAAGCCGCCTCAATCAGATGCTGCTACTGCGGGGCCCGTGTTGAAACAAAGAGTTAAGCTGAGTTGTTCAGCGGCACCGGCAGTGTAAATCCGAGGAACTCTGCCCGTCTGCCACCTGAAATCTCCATTGCCACTTTTGCGCCCTGAGATCTGAGAAACTTACAGATTTTACACTGGCTTGCCCTAGGAAGTCTTGGATCCAAAATGTTGAATGTTGTGTCAACTGCTTAGATGAAGACTAAGAAGACAGCAGCTGCTCCGGGCCGTGGCCCTTGCGTGTTCAGGCGACACTCACAGAACACGATGTGCATTCGGACTTTGCTCCAGAAAGACTGTTTGGGCTGCCGTTTCTGCTCAAAGTGAAAGCCTTTACATTGATTATTGAAGGAAAAAAGCGAGCTTGCTGCACCGCTGCCGCTTTGAGCTTCAACAGCCGCAGTAGACCTATACGAGAATGAATTAGGCCTCAGCCGCCTTAGCCTGTTTCGTTTTCTTGGTGCGGTTTCTACGGGCCGAGCAACTGTTCTTATTCAATTCGACTCTGCACTATCGTATTTATGAATGTAACTTACCACTAGGATCTTGAAAATGTTGTTTCAGGAGGCTTCGACAGGTTTGACAGCAGGGGTTTGGGAGCTTTCCACGAAACCCTGAGCCCTAAGCTGAAGCTTAAACCCTAAACCCTAATCCCTAGACCCTAATTCCTAAACCCTAGGCCCTGGGCCCTAAACCCTAAACCCAAACTCCCAAATCCGAAAACTGCAAGAGCCCCTGGCCGGCGTGTGGTGCTGCAGAATTTGGATCGCCCAGTTGATTCAGTTCGCATTAAACCCCACGCGTGTCCGTGTCGCGGCCAGAAACATCCTGAGGGGTTAACATAGGGGTTCTGGAGGGCTACAAACAGCTCAGGAGGCTTGTTATACATATATAACCGTATGCCGTAAGCAAACCAGCTGACACGCGTGGGAGCTTCTAAGCTCATAATCACGGGCTTCTCGAAAGAATCCCGAACAGACCTCTGCTGTAAGCACTCCAACTGATCAGATACGGTAGGAAAGTGCAACTTGACGGTCGACACTTGCAGGAGCACGGGAAGCTACAGTCTACAGTTTTGTCTGGCTCGGTGGCGGGTCGGGACAAGAGCTCTTAAGCTGCAAACTCAGCTTAGATTATCCGTGCTGTTCCATCAGATTCTAGTACTCTATTTTGGAAGCTTAGGGGTGTGTCTGCTCTTCCGGGACTCTTGGAGCGAGCACAAGCTGTCCACAAGCCTGCACACGAAGACCTGCAGAACACGAGACGTGCATCTCAGCAGAGATCTGCACGGCCTCAGGAGGCTGACACGTACTGTCATCCTCTTTAGCCGCCTACTGGAGGGCTTTCGGCTTCCTCCAAGCTGTCAACCTGTCCCTGTGCCAGCGCGAGCGTACGCGGACTGGAAGGAGCACAGTTATCCTAGCATCTTGTGCTCCCACTATCTAGTCTTCACAGGAACTTAACAGGACAGTTCTGCCGGGGAGGATGCATCGTCACCAGCACCACCACCAACAACATCCTCGTCATCATCCCCTCGCTCTCGATATCCTCATCAGCTACACGTAAATGCTCATCCGCATGATTATCCGTTGTCGGATTATACCACATGCTTACCAGCATCAATATTGCCGTCATGTGCACCACTGCCAACACCAGCGGGACACTCGCCACTATCACAATGCTCATCACGACCATCACCACCAGCATCCTCACAATCGCAATTGGAACTTTCAGTCGCGAGGCAGAGAAGACCTGCAGCACCTTCTTCAGTAAAACCCGTTCAGAGCCAACTGGACTTGCGCTAGGCTGCAGTGACCGCTTGACAAGCATCGAATCACCTGGAGCCGCATCTTGCTGCCCTTGCAGCATAGCAGCATAGCGCCCCTAGTGGTAGCAGCTATAGTAGTAGCAGTCGCAGCAGCAGCAGTCGAGTAGTCGTAGTGGCAGTAGTAGAGGCTGTGGCAGTGGCAGTGGTAGCCGCAGTGGTCGTGGTCGCGCTCTTGGTAGTGGTGTTGGTTTTGCGACTAGTGGTGTTGGTAGCAGGAGTCGTCCTTGTAGTAGGACTAGTAGTACTGGTAGCAGTAGTAGTAGTAGTAGTAGTAGTAGTAGTAGTAGTAGTAGTAGCAGTAGCAGTAGCAGTAGCAGTAGCACCAGGAGTAGTAGTAGTAGTAGTAGTAGTAGTAGTAGTAGTAGTAGTAGTAGCAGTAGTAGAGTAGCAGTAGCAGTAGTAGTAGTAGTAGTGTCGTCGTCGTCGTAGGTAGTAGGTAGTAGGTAGTAGGTAGTAGGTAGTGGTAGTGGTAGTGGTAGTGGTAGTGGTAGTGGTAGTGGTAGTAGGTAGTAGGTAGTAGGTAGTAGGTAGTAGGTAGTAGGTAGTAGGTAGTAGGTAGTAGGTAGTAGGTAGTAGGTAGTAGGTAGTAGGTAGTAGGTAGGAGGTAGTAGGTAGCAGGTAGTAGGTAGTAGGTAGTAGGTAGTAGGTAGTAGGTAGTAGTAGTCGTCGTCGTAGTAGTAGTAGGTAGTAGGTAGTGGTGGTAGTAGTAGTAGTAGTAGTAGCAGCGGCAGCAGCAGCAGTAGTAGGAGTAGTAACTAGTAGTAGTGGTAGTCGTGGTGGCAGCGGCAGCGGTGGCACTAGCCGTAGCTGTAGAGCGGTGGCTGTATAGCGATAGTGGTAGTGGTTGTGGTAAAGCAGGTATGGAGCCAGATGCATGCCTGCATGTGAATGTTTTCATGTGCATACATTTGCCACGCTATGTCCAAGTTTTTGAGTACATGAGTAGTGCGACTCTGTACGTAAGTAAATGCTCTTGGGACAAGATCCGTGCTCCTTGGGCCTCCAAGCCTGCACATCCTCACAATATGTGCGCTCCCGAGAAGACTGCGCCGCGAAGGACCTGGGCTGCTTGGCTTGAGAAGACGGATAACAAGGGAACTAGAGAACGACAGAGCATGCACTGGAATTGAAAGCCACGTTATGCCATCTGCGAATCCTCAGTGTTATCATACACAGCACAATCACAACCAAGCCCATGAGCAGGACCGCCAAAAATATTGCTGCATTTCTGAACGGACCCAAATTGGAAGCGACTTTGTCGTTCCTGCTCCTGCACACCTGCAGAAGCCCTCTGAACCCGAAAACTCGAACAGATTCTCAAGTCTGCAGCCCTGTTGCATCGAAGATGATCTCCAGGCATGCTGCGCCAGAAGAAGAATCACAGTCAGTCTGGCGGAGGATATGGTTGGTTCAGAAGTTTCGAGTTCGGGGGATCTTTTATTCTAAGCGGGGGCGTTGTGGCAAGGCCAACCGTCAGCAGGCCGGCAACATCACAGGAGAGGTTGGTAGATGTGTTGCAGCGCCGTCTTCACGACTTCACCCGATGTTGGAGCACATCATCCTTGATTTGTTGGTGGGTTGCTGATCAGGAAGACCATGACGCTTAAGTTTCTGCCGATTGTACACAGTCTACCTGTTTGTCTCTCGCTCTCGCTCTCGCTCTCTCTCTCTCTCTCTCTCTCTCTCTCTCTCTCTCTCTCTCTCTCTCTCTCTCTCTCTCTCTCTCTCTCTCTCTCTCTCTCTCTCTCTCTCTCTCTCTGCTTCACAGACAGCAGACACAGACAGACAGACAGACAGAGAGACAGTCAAGCTTTCGCTCCCCTCTACACAGCCCGTAAAACACGGGCGGGCCCAACGCAGTGTGCCGAGGGTCCAAATCGCACCTTAAGCCTGGGAGGAGATACAGTACATGTGCTCATACAAACCCTCCTTATCCATTTAATGCTACTTCCGTTTGCAGTCACATTTGCTGAGTTTGCTGACTTCAACTGCATATCCATGTCGTTTGCATGCCTGACTACCTGTGGCGACAGATGTGTGTGGGAGAGCAGGCTCAATGTTGGGCTGGAGGCCGGGGGTGTTCGACCATGTCATTTTCTAGCAGAACACTTGCAAGTTTCTGTCGGGCCACACAACTGCCTGCAGGACTCACACCTCCCTCCAAAGCGGAGCCACGACGAAGCGCGGAATACGCAGGTGCTCGGTGGTGCTTGAACATGTTGACATCGATGATTGATCTGACTGCTGCACTAGCAGTGACACATTGCCAGCTACTGGTCCAATGACATATTATCGTCATAAAATATGGCGTAAAGCATATGGCAGACCAAGCACACATGCAGCATTCAATCAGATGAGGCGGTAAGACAAACAAAACATGCTTTTGAACCGCCAGTTGCATGTGCGTAGCAAAGTGCAAAAGACTAGGATTGTGAGGGCATCGGAATTGCTGTGACCGTATTCAGACGCACGTGTCGACGTCGATGCCTTGTGCTTGCATGAGACCCGCGCACTTTGGGAGGCAGTTGAAGATGAACCGCGAACCGGGCCAATATGCTAGATTCGTCACCAGTGTGCTGCGGAACAGAAGTCGCTCACGGTAGTTCATGCGCTCATCAACTGATATTTTCATTTCCCGAGTTGGCTACATGCCATAAAAACCACCCAAGATGCGCATGCCCAGGATCCCCTTTTGTATGTACAAATGCTCCCATGCACATCATCACGAGCATTAGCAGCAGCACCACCACCCTCAACTAACATCCACCACCACCGACCAACCCACCCGCCACCACGCACCCACCATCACCCACCACCACCCACCACCCCCGCCGCCACCACCACCATCGCCAACACCACCCCACCATCCCCGTCAGCATCACCATACATGCTCAACACAATGAGGGTTTATGGG